AAGAGGAGATATTGGTCTATAATTAGAAGACAACAAAGTTAATCCTTTTTAAATAGAGGTAAGACTTAAGCTGCTTTTCACTGACCTTGAGATACCCTTGACTTAGAGATGAATTGGAAAGCAACCGGAGAGGTATACAAATAATGTCCACGGTATATTTTAGCATTTCATGACTACTTTGGCATTTTGCTGGTAGCTTTGTTTGGCTTTAGTGAGACAACAATATCCTTTATTTCAGTTTCAGATAAAACAATATTTTTCAATTGAATAAGGGTATAGTGAAGGAAAATCCGGGAGGATATTCTCGTCTATATTCTTAGCGATGCAACAAAAAAAGGAAAACTGTGGTAAGTATATATGCTTTTTTTCTGCTATATAATGGGGAATTTCATTTGATTTTTTTACCAATGCGTGGATGGATAATTTTTCAATATTATTTAAAATCTTTTAAAGCAAAATTGTCAATAATACCGTAAATATTTTCAAACAAGCATACTTATTCGTATTGTTAACTTTGTTTTTCTGCTGCCTGAATTTCAGAACGTCGCATGAATGATTCAATCTACGTATATATTTGGTGTAATCTATCCTTATTCCTGATTTCCCTTTGGAATTCTGATTCCGTCCCAGGTTTCTCATTCTTTTTACCAGTTATTTGGTACTTGGGTATATACAGGTAAGCAAATTAAAGAAATGTTGAGATAACAATATACCAAGCTATATATATATATATAATAAGAAAGAGATATTTCTAGAAGCAGTAGATTAAGATATACCATTATGCTAGTCAGAGTGTATAAGGTAGTAAATAGGTAAAAACATCCATGCTATTATTGTTAAACATAGCTGGCATAATATCATCTATTGCACGTGTATCTAATTATATCAGAATCTCTATAGAAAGCTCACGTGTTAAACATAGCAAGCATGATATCACTGCATGTCGTTGCCAACTGATTGTGTGTCCCCTTGCATAATCGGAGTCTTACCTTGCCTTCTTAAAAACGGAAAAACCTACAATGGAAATAACTGCCCTGTCTAGTGGACCTTGTGTGTGTTTTCTCCTGCTTTTGTCTCATTAGAATTCATTATTACACTATCTGTTGTGAAAACAGAAATCCAAGATATCTCCAAAGGAAAAGTACGATGACGCAAACTCTTGCCGAAAGTCCTGCGTCACCTTGCCAAACTGTTAGTACATAATGACGTAAGACATTATATTTTATGCCCTGTTCACAGTAGTAATTTTACTTACATGGGAGACCTATAAATAGAGCTTTAATTGCGTGTTTATATTTATAGTCTGCTTGGATTGTTTGTCACATAGAATTGAGGCTTCAACAAGCTGTAAACCTTGATTTACATGTCTATCATCATATACAAATCGTACGTATATAATTTAAAAGTTAAGTCACGTTTTATATGTTCTAAAATATACTTACGTTTATGTACCACGCTTCCTCGTTCAGGACTCATAGCAGTATAACAAGGACAATTTGATAACGGAGTGTAGCGGGGAAGGTGAGTTATCGAGACATTGTGTTAACCATTATACACAGATTATTAAAACACACGATGATAGTAATGTTATCACCTTACGTTGTTGATACTTCCGATTGGACATAATGTATCGGTTATTCAACGTGTAAAATGTTCGTTTTAGTGACTGTAGCTTGATATTCGATATGCGTTGTACCTATCCCGACATCTTTTCTCCACAGTAAGTCCCTAAAACTACTACTAACTCCCTAAAGAACGACTCGTGTATGATAAATATGCGCAACGTTTGACATAATATTTCCTGTGACTTAATATGAATTAAAATGTGATATTAATTACATTGGTTCTGTACAATTAGTTGTGATAGTTTTTCCTGTGACATGCTATCAATTCGTACTTTCTTTTTGTATTATCAAGAAATTAAGATTTGGGGATAAAGGAATAATATCAGCGCCAGTCTTTCATTTGCCTTATTCGTATTTTCGATTTTCACTTTCATTACCTATCCTACCATTATTTGGCATATAGTATATGTTCACGTGCGAAGTGACATAGGAATGGTACTACACCTGGGAACAGGGAAGTAGATCACATTTTGATTTAGAACAGCAAGGTGTACTTTGGGTGTATCGAAAAAACCTATATAAAGCCATCATCGGTGCGAATGAACAGTTTTTACCCAATCGAACATAGAGCACCTCAATTAAGGGGGGCACATTTTTGTATAAACCAATTACGTTTCCTCTACAAACAACCCCACCCCACCCCACTCCCCCTTCCCATGGGGGCTGAAGAAAAGAGTCAAATATGGGAAATAAAAATGAATCTTTTATGAAGCTCACAAATTACAAATTCACGGAATCGTTGAATATAGTTATATACACGTCACATGGAGACTGCAAGCTTTCAAGAAAGTCTTCTTTTTTTCTTCCAGATAAGAGAATGTTTGTTTTTGTGATTCTATTGTTTGCGATGATACCAGAAGCCTTTCAAGCATTCGTTTTCGTAAGTATAAAGTTTCTTTTTTTGTTTTTAAAAGTCTTATTCTGTACATATTCTGGAATAGACAAAAAGATCGACAGACTATCAATAGAACTGAAACATGATGAAACAAGGACAAAATATAAACAAGACATTTACACAGAGTGTTCTGGAAGCGTAAACTTTTCCAACAACACACAACATGTAAATATCAGACTTAAATATCTTGGAAAGTTATGTACCAAGTCGTCAGTACATTTTCTAATGAAATTCTCTTTCCTCCCCTTATAACTGTATTTGTATAAAACAGCCCCCTCCCCCTAATCTCTACAGAACGGAGTAGTAATTCTTTCAGTTTTTCGTCTCTATCAGTGTCTACAAAAAGGCAGAAGAGAAGTACAAGGACCACTGTATTGTGTTCACTGAAACCAAGTATAATTATCATCACAAGATAAAAATTAAATTCCAGTATGCACATTAAAATACTGAACATTCTTATATGCATTTTACATGTCAGTATCTTCTCAGGATCTTGTGTCAATAAAACATTTGAGTGTAAAACGTACGTTTTATCATTATAGAAGTGTCAGTCTTTATGACTTCTATATTCTGTGTTGATTTGACGCTCAATATTATTATTTATAGGTATATTATCCTCCTATATCGAAATTCCTGACATTTTGCAAATTAAATTTATCACATATACACTTTTTTACAAAATTTATTCACTTTGAAGATAATACACCTCCTTGACATTTCCTTTGCTCACTTTTGATCTCCTAGATTTAAAATATACACCCTTAGCATCACTGCCGAGTACTCGAAGGACGAAACAGCTGTATGATGTAGCATCACTGCCGAGTCCTCGAAGGATGAAACAGCTGTATGATGTAGCATCACTGACGAGTCTTCGAAGGACGAAACAACTATATGATGTAGCATCACTGCCGAGTCCTCGAAGGACGAAACAGCTGTAAGATGTAGCATCACTGCCGAGTCCTCGAAGGACGAAACAGCTGTATGATGAAGCATCGTTGACGAGTCCTAGAAGGACGAAACAACTATATGATGTAGCATCACTGCCGAGTCCTCGAAGGACAAAACAGCGGAATGATGTAGCATCATTGCCGAGTCCTCGAAGAACGAAACAGGTGTATGATGTAGCATCACTGCCGAGTCCTCGAAGGACGAAACAGCTGTATGATGAAGCATCGTTGACGAGTCCTAGAAGGACGAAACAACTATATGATGTAGCATCACTGCCGAGTCCTCGAAGGACAAAACAGCGGTATGATGTAGCATCATTGCCGAGTCCTCGAAGAACGAAACAGGTGTATGATGTAGCATCAGTGCCGAGTCCTCGAAGGACAAAACAGCTGTATGACGAAGCATCACTGACGAGTCCTAGAAGGACGAAACAACTATATGATGTAGCATCACTGCCGAGTCCTCGAAGGACAAAACAGCGGAATGATGTAGCATCATTGCCGAGTCCTCGAAGAACGAAACAGGTGTATGATGTAGCATCAGTGCCGAGTCCTCGAAGGACGAAACAGCGGTATGATGTAGCATCACTGCCGAGTCCTCGAAGGACGAAACAGCGGTATGGTGTAACATCACTGCCGAGTCCTCGAAGGACGAAACAGCTGTATGATGTAGCATCACTGCCGAGTCCTCGAAGGACGAAACAGCTGTATGATGTAGCATCACTGCCGAGTCCTCGAAGGACGAAACAGCGGTATGATGTAGCATCACTGCCGAGTCCTCGAAGGACGAAACAGCGGTATAATGTAGCATCACTGATGAGATCTAGAAGGACGAAACTGCGGAATGATGTAGCATCACTGACGAGTCCTAGAAGGACGAAACAGCTGTATGATGTAGCATCACTGCCGAGTCCTCGAAGGACGAAACAGCTGTATGATGTAGCATCACTGACGAGTCCTACAAGGACGAAACAGCTGTATGATGTAGCATCACTGACGAGTCCTCGAAGGACGAAATAGCTGTATGATGTAGCATCACTGACGAGTCCTACAAGGACGAAACAGCTGTATGATGTAGCATCACTTACGTGTTATACAAGGAAGAAACAGCTGTATGATGCAGCATCACTTACGTATTATACAAGGAAGAAACAGCTGTATGATGCAGCATCACTTACGTGTTATACAAGGAAGAAAGAGCTGTATGATGTAGCATCGCTTACGTGTTATACAAGGAAGAAACAGTTGTATGATGTAGCATCGCTTACGTGTTATACAAGGAAGAAACAGTTGTATGATGCAGCATCACTTACGTGTTATACAAGGAAGAAACAGCTGTATGATGCAGCATCACTTACGTGTTGTACAAGGACGAAACAGCTGTATGATGTAGCATCACTTACGTGTTATACAAGTAAGAAACAGCTGTATGACGCAGTTTACGTCATTGTATGACTCCACTTTATCTTAATTTGTAACAATAGGTGTTATTAACTTGTGTGTCTTTTGTACAATTTTCAGAGCCAGACCGAGATGACCTACATCACTGAAACTGGCATGACGTGCATTTTGTGTCCCCCAGGTTATTTCTATCTAAATGACTGCCAGGTTCATAACACCATAGCTTTGTGCAAGCCATGTCCTAAAAACACATTTTCTAGTACCTACAATAAAGCAGTTTTCTGTGCTCCCTGCATGGCTCATTGTGAGTCAGAAATTCTGGTTCCTGTGCAAAAGTGTAACGCCACTGCGGACATGGTGTGTGATTGCCCTGATGGAAAGATTCTTGAAAACCCCAAATCTCATGCGAAGTGTAAACCCATCAAAGGCTGTGAACCAGGATCAGGGCTACTCCAACAAGGTAAGCTTTATTTGATGTTCGCTCTTTCTCAATTTATTTTGTTTTCTTCATATATAAATGTACATCACGCACACGCACACATATACACACATATAATTTTCAATGCGTTTTCATTCATATCTGAAAAGAGTCTTAGATTTTATTTCTCGTGTCTTATGGAGTTACATGAAATCTCATATGAAATGGAAACAAATTGAAGATATTGTTTATCACATATAACTCAGTTTTTTTTCATAGGTCTTAAAGTAAAATGTTGAGAAAAAATCTAGTCGGGGGCAGCCATTTTGTTGCTTAATTTTAATTTCAAGACATCATTGTCCATGTTCTGACCTCACTATCGACTTCTTACCGGGTCAATGGAAAACACTGCAGGTTATATTACATTATTGTTCTGTTAAATGAAAGCACAATATATAGTGGACAAATTCACTGGATAACGGGCCAAATATTGGAATAAACAGAACATGCATTTATTACATGAGAAAGCACACTCATGATACTAGCTATAAGCATATTCACTGACATTGCTGTGGTGAATTATTCATTGTAAATTTTATTTTATGCATACTCACACAATTTAACCCCGGATAATGCAGTAATGCACCAACTAGCATTGGAGTGACTGCGTTTGATTTTATTTAATTAATTAAATGTTTGCTGGTGTATGTAAATCCAAGTTAAAATATATATTTGAACGGGTTTTGTTTTTAACAAAACTAGTAGTGTAATATATAAAATGTGTCAAGGTTTAATACAAACTGTCGCTATGTTCCTAATTGCTTTGTTTACTTTATGTTGATATCAGAATAAGCTAATTATTTCTCTTGTCTTAGAGGTATATTTTTACACGATAGCTAGATATCACTTTAGTTTGACACGCTGTAATCCAGTGTCGTGCAACCGTCCTTTGAGTTGTTCCTCTTGAATTCCCGTTAAGAGTTTGAAAATTGCGGCATGCCATCAAGACGGAGAAGTTATAAAAAACACGCCATTTTTCGGCTGTTCGGGGTTTCGTCGCTGAATCATTTGTGCAAAGTTTTTCATTCACGGAAAGTGACGAGCATGTTTCTAGGTCCCGCGTCAGAACTAAAGTATACAATAAAATTGTCGTTCACAAACACATTCGTCAAAATGTTGTCAAAATGAGACGTAAATGCTTCCTAAAATAATTCAGGAAAAGCCACGGGAAGATAACACCAGGGCCACAATACCCATCATGCAAGTTAATTTGGTAACGAAAGTGTTTTTAACAGTCGTCCTAGTTCTACAATAATATATTAAAGGCATACTATTGATAATAAGAGTTTTAACAAAAAACACGCATATTCTAACTGGACAGTTCAGAATGAAGAATATATGATTGATACATAGGAAATATAATGTAGTTTGTAGATTAAGTTTGTATAAAAGACATCAAGATGCATTTACACATTACGATCACACACATATTGATACACACGTAATAAACGTGATAAATCATACATTTATGTTCGTCTTTATGTACTTAAAGGGGATTTTATGATAGCAACATATTTTGAAAGAAGGATAAAGTGAGTGTATTATGTGTGTATACTGTAGATACATTTGTCGATCCATATACTGTAAATCACTTATTGGTTCGCATGGGATTTATTTCCGCGTTAAAACGCAAAAAAAAAACAATCGCGAAATTGATTAGGAAATATTTGTATCCATGTTAATTCCGCTACCGATATCGGCGTTTTGCAGAATCCGAATATATAATAGCTCCTTATTCGCGAATGTAAAGTACTTTCTAGGTAGCAAAATCATATATTTGCGGTAGATGTCTGAAGAATTATGCTCGCGAAATCCGAGTGATGTACAGTGTATGAATAAATACACGCATCTACAACAGTGTAAGATAGAACACGTGTATGAAGAATGAACAAAAAGATACAAAATGAACATTAATGCCAAAGAATGAATTTAACTGCATCATAAAAGCTTTTTCGCCTTCTACGACTCGTCAGTGATGATAAGTTCTTAAATTTTAAAGTCTAGGAAACGACTGAGGAAAATCCAAAGTGATAAAAAATAAGTCAAAATCTAAATGAGGAACAGCATTTACACTGTTATTCAATAAATTTATTATTTTTATATACCTGACAATTTTAGGTTTCCATGCAGTTTAAAGCTTGTTATTTCAAATGAAAGCTTAGCATTTCCACTTGATTGTTATCATACCCTTTCTTTATAATAAAAGACGAAAAAACTATTTCATGGAAGGTAGCCGAGAAAAAAGCAAAGATTGATTGTTATTCAAGAAAAAAAAAATAAGATATATTTACTGAAAGAGGTAAACAAATGTTATTGTTGTCTTTCAAACGCTTCGATTTCAAAACAGCCTGAAAATTATCATAATATAATGCATAATTTCACAACAAAAATGTTCAATATTTTGTTTATAGCTACACCAGAACATGGACCTGTGTGCGCGAAATGCAGACCGGGGATAACATTTTCTCCGGATATGTCAGGTGAACCCTGCTATCTATGCACCCAATGCCCTCATGATGATATTTTCCAGAAATGCAATACAACACATGACAGCATTTGTAATGTACAAACACGTAAGTGTTTAGGATCTTGGTTAATTACCAATGACAGTCCAAAAAAATAAAATGTAGGAAATACGAAAAATAAAAATGTTCTTATCATAAATGATGGCCATATTCTATGAACAATTAGTTTGATTTTGGATGCCTATCCATGAAACAGAAGACACTTACTCTTTAGGACACCTGGTCCTATTCTCCTTGTACATTTCCATCAATGCCAATCTTTTGCTGATAGTTTGCGTTATGGTTTACTGAATTTGAGTTTTGATTATGATTTTGTTGACATGTTGGTATTTTCTTTTTGATTTTTGTGGTGTTATCTTGGTTCATCGTTATATTCAAGTTGATCTGCAGGTGTTGTCCGTTGTCGTGTCTCTCGTAAACGTATGATTACACCAAACTATTACTGTATTGCATGTTAATGTATTAATCGAGAAACAGTAGTATTGGTCATCACTATTGTATACTTCTTAAGATGTATACAGAGAAAAACCTGTTAAAAGTGATATTAACATGTGGTATTATCTCACTAATATTATTTATTTCAGAATCCTGGTTTAATGTGTCCACGGAAATTTCTTTCGGAATGAACGTCGGTTTGATTTGTGTTATAATTATTCTGTTGATAATAACATATCGTGAACGTCAACGGAAATCTACCAGATATAGTTCTTCCGAGTTATACAGCAACAGGTAATATTTAATTAATTTTCCTTATTCTCTCCTTTTTTATTTTTTTGTTCGTGACATTCTCAAAATAGTCGTGTGTTTCTGAAGCGTTGAAAGTCTCAGCAACGGCAAATGCGTCTTTTGATTGAGAATGAAACATACGATAAGAGGTCGGTTCTCCCCACATTCAGATTATATAACTGAGGCGTGAATTATGAAATTTTTTTAAGTGATAATTTCTTTATCTTCCGTACGAATATAAGCTTTCATTGTCAATAACGTGTCACGTTGTAGATAACACAAGACTGACAGAATCACTGAAAGCAATAGATATTCAAAACCAGGACATTAAGCTATCCAGAGTGCTGCAATTGAAACAGTAGATTACGTTTGGCTCTTCAATATCCCTTTAGAATCTGTAGGAGACTTCCCAATAATACGTGTCTTTTACGATATGCAATGTTTCATTCTGACGGTTTTATTTTACGGCATAGAAAAGTAGTATTAACTGGACATTCTCTTTTAAAAAAAAGGTGGCAAAGAGGAGAATGCCTTCTCCAGTTTCTTCTATGATGGTGGCATCGACGAGCTCACAGATTAGATCTAATCATCGCAGTGAAAGTTCTTGTGTTCCGTAAAAAGAACATTGAAATGTCCTAATGCAACACTTAAGTCATTAAGAGCAAAAAATCAAAATGTTTATCTGAAATAGTATTTTCATTGTGTTTTTACGTATGCATATTCAAAACATCAAAAAGGTTGTTTGTTTTCATCTTACCAATATACTACTATATTTTGTCGCAGTGATTCCAATTTAGAGACTTGTCCATTGAAGACCGTCACATCCTGCACATCGTCGGAAATAGACTGGAGACCTATATTTCAGTTCTTGTCTTTACAGTTAACATCAGACTGGGAGAATGTTATTCGGTCTCTTTTTCTGGGTATGTAGCTTTATAAAGTCTGCTTCAGTTCTGCACTACACTAGAAAACGTAATGGAACACATCACAGTCCCCCGAATACATTTATAGGCAACACATGCACGCATCTCATATACATGGGTAATTGGCAGCTTGTAAATTAACAAAGTTGTTAAAATGATGTTTACCAATATCAACCCAGCATCATGTTTATCATGAAATTTGTTTTATGTTTTGGTGATATTAACAATGAGTGTTTTTCGCCCACGTTAACATTCGAGTGTTGTTATGTCAACCGAAGGCCTAACTGTTTTATCATACCGGAAACAATACGACCTCTAAATAAAGTATTATTTATCGTATTTTAAAATTCTCCAAACCTGGAGTTAAATGCCTCAATATAGCAGTTACCAACTCCCAAGCCCCAGCTCTGGCTGCCAGAAATATTCTTAGTGAATCCACGACTTAATCAATGACCCGTAAGGTGTTTGGAGGAGCTTCTTTCTTTACTTAATTTTGTCATATTTCGAATTCTGTGGGAAAACGATTAAAACGGAAAAGAGTTCAGAGTGTGGGATTCACGAGTAATATAACGATTTGGGGTCAATGCAACTAAAGTCCAATGGATGGAGAGCTATGGCAGATGCCTTAATGATTGCTTTTATCGTGTTATACCGAATCGTCTAATTTCACGGTACCTTTTCATGGCTTCATAATTAGATTTTTATCTTTTTCACGATTTGTTTATGTAAACCATCAAAGTTGTCAATGTGTGTCTGCAAACAAGTTATTAACGAAAATTAACTAATTATTTGACTCTACTTTATTTAGCCTTATATTATGAAAAGTTGTTATTCAATTATGTGTCTTTTGTACACTGTATAAAGTTTTTTCTCGAGTAAATGTAAAAGGCCGAAAGCCTGACCAATGTTCTGCTATATCAATAACTACGATGACACATATTAAGGATATGATACTATTATTAGTTAAATCTTTAATAGCATCACCGTCTATAATTAACTTTATAATTCTATATTAATAGCGACAATTTTAATATTGTAATAGCAAAGGTTACAATTCTGTTAATAATGAATATATGTCTATGTATTCCTTGTTGCTATGAAATACGTTTTACTTAATATATATTTCAAGACATCTTTACTTGAATATTTATGATGTTATTTGCCTTAATTGATCACGATTGATGTTGTTTGTGAAGCAGAAGACGCTTTTCTTACTGGAACATCTTTATGGACGTGGATCTTGTTCATGTTTTGATCTAGTGTCTAGCTAAGATTTTGTTGACTAGTTGGTAATTTCAGCCTACCATCAGCTATTGGTTGACTGTTTCAATCTACCGTCCGTCCGCCCTTACGATTATGCTTATCTCTATCTGTAGATAACTGTTTTGGATTGATCAGAAAAATAAATTCGATTTCGCTATTTCCGAAGAATCACTGGACAGATCATTCGCAAACTCTGTATAGGTTCTCTATAGTCCGTTATTGTGCATAGTTCGTTGTGGACATAAATATTACATACTCTTTCCCTATCTCTGTTCTCTGTGAAAAAAAAAATTAAAAAATAAAATGTAAATAGCTGAAGAAAGAACATGATAGCCACTGTATGATATTAAATGTCTCACATAAACAGCCCCACCCACGTAACATGCTATATCAGTACAGGTATTTGTATGAATGAAATATATACGTAGCTGGCTGGGTGGTATATCTGTGTGGATATCGAAAGAACAAACAAACCGATGTTATACAGCGTTCAGGAAGTTGTCATAAACAATGTTAAGAGGGTGCGTTTTGAGGCTAAGGTACGATGTGCTGCATATTTTCCCTGGCGTCATATAACAGGTAAAATACAACTGGCGTTTAGCTATGAGGTGTAGGCTGAATAGGACGTATACGTGTGTGTGTAACATATATCGACCTCTTACGGAAACGTTTAAAGAATTTTCGGATATGTGAACTATTAAACGTTAATATGTAAGATTAAATTATTCAACAGTATTTCATCATAATGTATCTGCCTTTGTTAATTTATTACTGACATCTACGGTGAACAATTATGTTTTGACTGTGGCCAGAGGTTTTTTGTCTGCTACACATGTTCATGTATTAATTCGTTCCCTGATTGTAACCTTACTTTGTTGTAAACAGCCGAATCCTTGCCATTGATGTATGCAATACCATGTCGATAACTCATGTATACTTCAATCCATGTTTACCTGTTAGCTAATGTGTATCAATACTTTATCAGTTAATTAACAATTCTAGTATAAATAAGACCTCTTTTCTAGCCAGTTTGTATCCGGTTCCTGAAGGCATGCGAGTGTTCCATCTCTCCATAGCCTACATCTCAATAAACCTTCAACACCCGAACAGCGTTTGGACTTCTTCATCTCCACTTATTACAACAAGAAACAATGTACCATTTTATATGCAAATATCGTAAAACCAGGTGTAGCAATGTAAATACATATAGAGTTATAGTCACTAAACACTGATAAGTGTTTTCCCGATAAATCATTCTAAATGATTTTTTTTTTTCATTATACAGTCAGTGATGCTAGGACCCAGTAATACATGTATATCAAAGAGATGTTCTAACTATATAATTTAACTTGTTAACAACAAGAAACAAAGTACCATTTTATATGCAAATATCGTAAAGCCAGGTGTAGCAATGTAAATACATATAGAGTTATAGTCACTAAACACTGATAAGTGTTTTCCCGATAAATCATTCTAAATGATTTTTTTTTCATTATACAGTCAGTGATGCTAGGACCCAGTAATACATGTATATCAAAGAGATGTTCTAACTATATAATTTAACTTGTTAACAACAAGAAACAAAGTACCATTTTATATGCAAATATCGTAAAGCCAGGTGTAGCAATGTAAATACATATAGAGTTATAGTCACTAAACACTGATAAGTGTTTTCCCGATAAATCATTCTAAATGATTTTTTTTTCATTATACAGTCAGTGATGCTAGGACCCAGTAATACATGTATATCAAAGAGATGTTCTAACTATATAATTTAACTTGTTAATATATACTGAACAAACGCTATTCAGATTATCATGACTGAACTTGTAGGACAAAACATTCCTATTATTATTTTGTGTGTGTGTGGAGGGGGGGGGGGTGAGGGTGTGTGTGTGGAGGGGGGGTGAGGGTGTGTATGTGTGCGTGTGTGTGTTTGTGCGTGTTTTGTCAGTAATGCATAGAATAATGATGATTTAGATATTTGTCTTGGAAATAAGATTATAAATTGTATTGAATATTAAAGTCTTATATTGTAAGTGTAAATCTGAATTATACATCACTTCCCCGAAAAATGTTATTTACCATATATGAAATTAAGTAACTATTTAAGTAATAGTGTTTCGTTAGATATATTGCAGTAAATAGTTGTTTCCTATTCTTTTACAGACGCTAATATAAGTGATTGGAAAGCAGTCATACAACAAATTCAACACGATAATGACACCGTCCGTGAGCAAATATACCAGTGTCTCCTCAGATGGCAACAAGGGGGTTCGCTATCCAAAGATACATTGATCCGCATCTTGATAGAAGAAAATCACCAGGACATAGCAGAGAAGTTGTCGAATAGCTCTGTCCTTGAAAATTCTCCACTCGAAAGATGGGAGGAAGACATGGTTTAAGTTTGGCCTCTATTCTGGTTCTTCTAATAATTCCCTGACCTTGCGAGAACATTTCAATCATGAAAGAAATCTTCATAAAAGCCTAACTGTTACTGTGACCTTAAGATCAAAGGTCAAAATATTTAATTTAAAAATGTTTTTATGGTTTCTCATGATATTCTCTTATTTATTTCAATATTTTCAATGTTATGACTATATCTTATAGTAAATACTCGACATTTAACCACTGATTCGTTTTGTACCTTCAGTGTGTTTATTTGACACTAAATGTGACTGTATCATTTATACTATATTATAGACACCTGAATCAGATCTGAATGAAATTTGTCTATTTTGATATATTGAATATATACAGTGAACCCTCGATAATTCGGACGCCTCAGAAACGTGGCTGCATTAATGTCAATACATTATGTAGTTCATATCGTGTTTAGAAAGTATGCTTTGTCAAATATTTTGAGTAAATTATACACTAATGTCTGTGAAAGAGGACTTCAGTGAATTAATATTTAACATTCATTTCTGTAATTTTACATAATGCATGTATAGTGTTTTAAAAATATACTTTGCGACACATTAATAAACACATGTGCTTGCAATAAATGCTGTGTGTAGAACATACAATCTCATGGTGCTTATTTACAGTGTGCTGTACGTTATAGTACCGGGGAGGTAACAAATAAGACTTATCAACCTGAATGCAGAGGAACATTGTATTTGGTGGTTTCTTCAAGCAAATGAAATGGCCTTGACACAGAATGAAGGTCACACGTGCTTTACGTGATCGATTATGATATCGGATCCTGAAATAAAATTCTTTATTTTACGAAAACAATTTTCCTTGACCCACATTCATATTTGCAAAAATAAAATTAATACCTAAGATCAGTATATTTGAATCTCTTGTTACCATCAACTGCGTTTGTGAAAGGAAATGACTTTGACCGGTTTTCAGTGTCGCATGGGTCAAATCTAGTGAAACACTGAAGTTTCTGATTAACCAAAATGTCCAGGATCATGATATTTCGTTCTTTTTATATCAAAAGGTAAAATACTATTAAGATGGACTGTATCTTATTGATTGTTGACATGCTGTATCTGGTGCATTGTAGTATAACTTTAACATCAAAGGCTTGTAATTTTATATTTATCACTTTGCGGAGACCGATGTTGGTATCAACGTTGCACCATTGAATGTCAGGTCACTTCAAGCAAAAAGCATATGATCCAAATACGTCACTATAAGGTTGTGGGAGATTCATGTCCAATGACTTAGTGTGTAAGATACAATGAAAATGTACCTTATCGAATAGGAAAACATCAAATAATGGCATGGGATGAATTTTTTTATTATATCAAACAATACAATGATAATAAGTAACGTTAACGCTGATGACTTCTTTTAATTAACATAGATATAAAAATAAATGATACTGTTTTTCTAGTTTCTGTGCGATAAGTTGACAATTAACATGAATGAAATAGATAGATATACATTGTGAAGGTATACCACATGTTTATTGAGTCACCCTGAACTTCTACTTTCTAGATGCGTGTTACTTATTCTATCTCACTCCCAGTGGGAAAACCTTCAGGCAACAAAGCATACATATTGATCAATATTACATCATTTTAAAACCTCGTTAATTTTTTGTACATTTTGCATCGCTGATGATTATCAACACTTTCAAGAAATCTCTAATGCAGAAATAACACAATACGTCGTAAGTATGTAAAGGATGGGCCAGATAGTGGGACTAACGTATAGTAGGATTCTGAAATGTCCGCCATGACTACACATGACGCCATATAGGCGGCGATGTCCGCGCATAGGTTTTTTTTCGCAAGAACTCCATGAGTTCAAACTTCATACAGTGGTTCCTTAACAAACAGGCTTGCTTGGGATTATTTTGGGTCAAAATGTCAAAGGTATCGTATGCGATAGAAAGCAAGGCTATATATAATGAAAACAAACGAATTAGTACGAAGTCCTTTACACAACAACAAAAGAAGCTACATAAGGATATAACAGAGTTTGTATTGCGTTTACGTTGGTATGAACGCAAGTGGATGCTGACATAGCGTAGTATCAGGCAGAAGGCTTTTATCTTGGGTCTTCGTGGATCAAAATGCAGTTCCTGTAACCTTTACACCTCAAAAATTATGTTATATTATGGCACAATTCCCGTCACCTAGAATACATTTACTACTGCTTTTGTTTGAATTCATATTGTTTCTTCACATTTAAGATGTCCAAATGCTATTAAGGTCCAGTTTCACTTCTGTATCAATCTAAAACAGCTTACAACTTTATGACTTTAAATACTGGTAGACGTCATAATATTTTGTATTTGTTATCAATTTTATCTGCTTCATTAAGCCTAATTCACTTTCAAATTAAACTTTTCTCTATACATTACGATCCCCCAATTTTTTTTTTTTTTTTTTTGTTTTGTTTTTGAAGATGACCATGCAGTTTTCCACACGGCAATTTTACATAATATGAAAGCTTATATACGAGAGTAACTAAACATGAATACATTTACATTAGATTGTCAATATTTTCCCTGCAATGTGCCCAAAAAAATTGCCGCTGTCTCAGTGTCGACTATTAGAATTGGAAATCGGCCTAATATTACGCACACAACGAAAGATTTTTATCTTTTGAAAACCTGCCCATGCAGATACTAGAAAAAATACTCAAGCTGGGGTGTTTTTTGTAGTGCAAGCATGCGCACAGCTTGCAAAGTTTCAAACCCGATGTTATTAGATCAAATTGCCAATTTTTCTTATATGCCGATGCACCTTGAGAAATGCAAAAGGCATATCAGCCGATCATTATTTCAGCTTGACCTCGTCTTATTTGTGTCATAAAATTAATACTCTGTTTGCTATATAAAATTCTTTATGAACGAGATGGATACACGTTTTAAAATATTACATTGACGGCATATTGTGGCGGTTGTCGACCGAAATAAAAAAAATAGGGCAGTACATGTAACTCGGTAAGTAGCCATTTCGTTGCCGTACGCATAGGCTTTACAGAGTAATTTCCCTTTGCAATAGACTTCGTTCACATACCCTGAATCGTAAAAGGAACTTAGATATATGTTATGACGCCACGGTGGAGAAGGGAACGTGCCGGTGGAGCGTGGAGGTCGCCCATAAACGGATCGAGGCTTGCTTGCATCGACCTCCACGCTTCTCCACGTTTCTCCGTGGAGCGTGGAGTCGTGGTGGAGAGCTCCACGGTGTAGCGTGGAGTGTTGATTTCCTCCACGCTAGAGCACCCCACGGTGGATGGTGGAGAACGATCCTATGAGGATGAATTGTAGTGTATGAACACGGTACTGTAAATAAATGAGTTTATATGAAGTTTCGGTAACAACGTGGATTATTGTCATCTCATCTTTATTTCTAACAACGTATAGTTACCGAAACTATCGTGTGAAGATGAAGTATAATTGCCGAAATTTTATCTGATGAAGATGACGAATTGTAGTGGACGAAACTCTATGGATGAAGATGACGAATTGAAGTGGACGAAACTCTATGGATGAAGATGACGAATTGTAGAGGACGAAACTCTATGGATGAAGATGACGAATTGTAGTGGACGAAACTCTATGGATGAAGATGACGAATTGTAGTGGACGAAACTCTATGGATGAAGATGGCGAATTGTAGTGGACGAAACTCTATGGATGAAGATGACGAATTGTAGTGGACGAAACTCTATGGATGAAGATGGCGAATTGTAGTGGACGAAACTCTATGGATGAAGATGGCGAATTGTAGTGGACGAAACTCTATGGATGAAGATGGCGAATTGTAGTGGACGAAACTCTATGGATGAAGATGGCGAATTGTAGTGGACGAAACTCTATGGATGAAGATGGCGAATTGTAGTGGACGAAACTCTATGGATGAAGATGGCGAATTGAAGTGGACGAAACTCTATGGATGAAGATGGCGAATTGTAGTGGACGAAACTCTATGGATGAAGATGGCGAATTGAAGTGGACGAAACTCTATGGATGAAGATGGCGAATTGTAGTGGACGAAACTCTATGGATGAAGATGACGAATTGTAGTGGACGAAACTCTATGGATGAAGATGGCGAATTGTAGTGGACGAAACTCTATGGATGAAGATGACGAATTGTAGTGGACGAAACTCTATGGATGAAGATGGCGAATTGTAGTGGACGAAACTCTATGGATGAAGATGGCGAATTGTAGTGGACGAAACTCTATGGATGAAGATGGCGAATTGTAGTGGACGAAACTCTATGGATGAAGATGGCGAATTGAAGTGGACGAAACTCTATGGATGAAGATGGCGAATTGTAGTGGACGAAACTCTATGGATGAAGATGGCGAATTGAAGTGGACGAAACTCTATGGATGAAGATGGCGAATTGTAGTGGACGAAACTCTATGGATGAAGATGGCGAATTGTAGTGGACGAAACTCTATGGATGAAGATGGCGAATTGAAGTGGACGAAACTCTATGAATGAAGATGGCGAATTGTAGAGGACGAAACTCTATGAATGAAGATGGCGAATTGTAGAGGACGAAACTCTATGAATGAAGATGGCGAATTGTAGTGGACGAAACTCTATGGATGAAGATGACGAATTGTAGTGGACGAAACTCTATGGATGAAGATGACGAATTGTAGTGGACGAAACTCTATGGATGAAGATGACGAATTGAAGTGGACGAAACTCTATGGATGAAGATGACGAATTGTAGTGGACGAAACTCTATGGATGAAGATGACGAATTGTAGTGGACGAAACTCTATGGATGAAGATGACGAATTGAAGTGGACGAAACTCTATGGATGAAGATGGCGAATTGTAGTGGACGAAACTCTATGGATGAAGATGGCGAATTGTAGTGGACGAAACTCTATGGATGAAGATGGCGAATTGTAGTGGACGAAACTCTATGGATGAAGATGACGAATTGTAGTGGACGAAACTCTATGGA